TGAGTGCATACTTTGCGGTATTCTCATGATCATATAATTATTACACTTCTTTTCCTATATGTGTAGTGAAATGCCAGTAAAATTTAGTTGTTCCTGGCACCATCGTCAGTTATACGATTCCACTTCAATCATGCGCTACTTGTCGGTGTGTCTGATGTAAATAAAGGAAAGCATTTGAATGTCACAAAAATGACACGCATGCTTTCAAACACGTATGGACGGACATATTTTATTGTTTTTGGCAATAGACATAAACTAACATAACAGGATATGTATTTAAGTATCACTTTTATATCTTAACATAATTTATGTACATTAGTGTTCTCAATTTCTTAAAAGTTCATCAAAAAACGAAAGGTGTTCAATTGGGAGATAGGGGTCAAAAGGTTGTTCTATGCAGGTACTACATACACAGCTTGTTTTTTTGTAGTCACATTTTCAACGCTATTTCAATGTTTTTTTAGTTATACCCAAGTCTGGTTAATTAAACATTTTGGTCAAACAAAGAAACGTTATATTTGTGTTCTTGTCCACTTTAGTTAATATAATACATGTACATGCACTCTGAATTATTAATGAGAAAAATGCCACCCATAATGTATAGGGTAGAATTGAGTGGCAATCGCTGTGTTATAAAGGATTTGAAGTGGACACACATGACATCACTTCAAAACATATGTTATCACCTGTGTATTACCATACGACAGCAAAGTATTGTTTCTGGCATATATTTACGAATATGTCAATAATCCTCACATTTAATTTTAACATTACTTTATTATTTTAAGTTTTTAAAAAATTATCGTACATGATAGTGTTTCAATTCTCCTCCACAAGTTCTATGTATTACCTTTAAAATCATACATTTATAAGTTGCTTACAGAGACATCATTTGTTTATATAGTATGCAAATGTTTTATAAGGCTGAGAAAAAAAATAACTCTGTTTCTCATTTCCGCGCGCATCATTTTTAACTATGTGCCTCAAACCATTTTTCCTTCTAAAGCATTCCAAAATGCGCTTATACTCGCACTTGTCTCAAATTTCCCTCATTTTAGCTCATTATTCAAAAACAAAAACAAAAAAAACCGACCCGCTGCCTCATTTTAAAATTTCCATGAAACGAGAAACAGAATTTTTTTCCCTGGCCTAACTAATGTTGTTCACTGATCGACAACAGCTTATGATCTGTTGTAACAGCATTGCCCATAACAGGGACACATTGATGTATATTTAAAAACAGAAGTAAACAACGTTATTATTTCATCTTTGTGTACAAATGGCTGTTTTTTTACCAACCAGTCACTGAGTACGTGTATGCACAAAGAACATAAACGAGTGCGATGACATAACGCAATAAGTAATTTATTCACAAAATATCAGTAATTTCCAAGACTCTTCATGAAACCATAATTACGCACAACATCGCTTACAAATTCAAAGTTAACCTTACTTTCATAGAAGACTGTCTAGACTGTCTAGACACTTCTCATTATTTTGTCAGACAGTGACCATTTTAGAACACCCCCATAGCATTTAGCGACATTGTCAAATCACATATGATGTCTCAGTACTACTAATTAGTGTTTCACTAATTATTCATAAAACAATTTGGAGGTTTTCACATTTACTGTGTAGTCACATGACTTACTTGTATAATTCTGGATCCAAAGACTGTAAATGATGAATATCCACGTCCGCTGAATGTCTCCCAAGTATCTTGGACAGAAAGAAGCTGGCAAATGGCAGCTCTATTAACATATTCTCATAAATTACCTGTCAGAAAAAAAACAAAGACATGACAGCAAGACAGAGATCATCTCCAAATCAGGCGACTTTCAACAAATCTTCCAATAAATTTTCTAGTTAACAAATTAGGTTAAAATATCGGGAAAATATCTTCCAATATGGAGAATTTCAAGGCCCTAGTTTCAAAATGGAACTGTCTAGGTCGCTCAAGTGATAAGGCGATTCAAAGCCAAAATAAAAGTGCAAAATTGTTGGCACATTTTGTTGTCAATTTTTATTTGGACCCATATGAAATATGTTCATTTGGTTCATAATTAAAGAAGAAATTATGGAATAATACATAAAATGTTTAAAAATGTTGCATCAAAACTTGGTAAGAATATTTAATTATGTTCAAAAGTTTGTGACTGTTTTGTAACAGTTAAATTGTACTACCTATACCTATTATGACACTGAGTCAGTGATTACATGTACTGTATCACAAATCACGTCTCCTACAACCACCCCTGAATCATTATATTGTAAACATTTCTAAAAATGTCATGGTTAATGATGATCAGACTAAAATATTAGCAGTACATGTGAACATTTTTTTATATACTGTACTTCCCCGATCATAAGCTCCTATAGTATAAGCCCACCCCTCTATTTTTAGACGTTTAACAAGTTACAAGTTAGGCCCAGGGGTTTTTACTGGGCATCGACGACATTTATTAAAATACAAATGTAAAAAGTGTGTTGCATAAAAATAGTAGTTTGGTAGCTTTCGAAAAATGTGACCGCCAAGTTGTGAAAACTGGTCATAGGACATTGTTTTTTTCCCCATTGAGACTATTGTGAATGGGGTGTGAACAAGTAAACTATTATTTGACATGACCTGTTAGCGACCATGAAAAGTTTAAATACTTCCTCCACAGTTTACTTTTTGAAAATTGCGAATAACCATAATAGGAAAAAAAAAATGTTTTTATTTGTTGAAATCAATTCTAACTGATCACATTTTAACATCGCAGTAATTTACTTCAACATTGCATTAAAAAAATAAATTGTTGATAATCAGAAAATTTTGTCAGTACATGTACAAACAGCATTTTGAATGATTAACGAAAGACTTGACCAGATTAAAGGACACTGTTTCAGGTCAAATTGTGCTGAAAAACATCATGATGTTAATTGCTTTTACACCGAGAGTTTGCTCATGTTCAAAAACATTCAACAACAAAGATAATGAAGATCTTGCCTTTGACTGTTTTCCCACAGACCCTACCCATTTTTACACCGTCAATTCAGACAGTATGTAAATCGTATTGTAATAAAATGTGTGTATTTCAATGAACATGGAAATCAATGAAGACTCGTTTCATAATTTTTCTTCTTCAAAAAGACGTATTAACACCTCCGATTCCAGCATAGTAAACAAAAGATAATTTTTGTGGATGGTAAGATGGTTACAATGTTAAACTGATTTTTCTGAGGTGGTCCTTGGATATAAGCCAATAAGAATTACCGGTAGTGAAATTATAATACTTCAGATTTAATAATGCAGTGGACACCCACCTTGCCTAACATTCTACCCATAAAATAATAATGCTTGGTGTAATCTTCCTCTAACAGAGATGCCTGAGGGTTTGGATATAATAGCCTATCATAGGTGGTTTTGAAAAAACCACGATTTGGATCAAATCCAGCCTTGAGTAACTCTGATAGGAACTCCCGGAATAAACCACCGCCATCGATTCCGGCTTCATTTAAACCAGCAGCGTTTATAAGCTGTACTCGCATCTTCTTTTTCAAATCGGGTTCTGAAATTAACGGATAAATCAGTTGTATATAACACCATGATATAATATTAATGCAACTGTACTGTTCAGAGCTTCTGCGTATACACCATTATACCATGGTCATAATTGTTAGCTGGCTGTGTAGATTCCTTTTCAATTTCTGATGCAATTGTATTTTTTTAAATGACAATTGTATAATTCTGTTATTGTTTATGGCTTCAAAGAATAGCAAGGAGGATTCTCATGGCAACACCGCTATGCAATTTGTATCCCCGGGAGAACATTGCAGGCCAGCTCAAAAAACGGACAATCGTACTATTTTTGAGTGAAATCAAAAATGGCCACCACAAAATTACACCCATGTCACATGACAAAAACCATTGATTACCATTTGCCATTTTCACTGGCCGGAACACATCTCAAATAAGCAGACATGGATTGCACTCATCCAAAAAATAAATAAACAATGAAAAATGAAAACAGAGTAGATACCATCTTACCATTGTCAGGTCGTAGTTTATCAAAGGCATCTTCATAAATGTAATTTCTTCTGATTGTGATATCGATAACAGGACCAGTGAGAAAGTTTTGCATTTCACCACCCTGACTTTCTTCTTTGTCTTTGATTAACAACCCTTGGAATATCTGAAAAATAAACAACAGTAGGTGGTTCTGGGGAAGTTGATTTTCAGCAAAATAGGCAGTTATAAGTAAAAACTTAAATAATGGTTAAAGTCAAATGCACACAAAGCTTTGGTGTGGATTTCACAACCCATATAAAAATGATGCTACAAAAATGCCACATCACTCACACTCATGTATTAGTTTTTTCAGATGAGCTGCCGAAAGTGTAGGTGCATCAATTGTGGGAAAATATGCAAATAATTCTCAGCGTTACTCTTGTAACCAATAATAAATAAATAGTTCTCCCCAACATAATGTTTCGGCTTCACTGCTAATAGGAGATTTTCCGTACAATTGCGAGATCTCGCGAGATGTATGAAACACGCGCGTCGAACGTCTGCCGCAAAAATCGAACGATTTGATTTTGAACTACAATTTCTTTATTTCGTAACTCACATCGACCGGCCGATCTTCGACAGAGGAATATTGCTTCCGAATACCCTTACTTAATCAAAATTGCCTATCATCAAATGTGGACAGCACATTATTAAGCATGGAAATGTCCCCCAAAATACTTCGCGTTTGTCGAATCCCACGCGATGTTGACGCCACTACGACGCTATGACCTTTGTTTGTCCTGTTTTTACGTTCGATTTCACGCATAACGCGTGATTCTCGCAGTGAACAGAAAATGGTCTATTCACATATGAGACTATAATTAATTCATTTGTTTTTTCCCAAATATCAAGCAAAATATTTATGATGCTGGAAAATATGTCTGGGAGAACACTAGAACATGAAATAAAGAATTTCTTTCATTCATAATGTAATGAGATGGAGTTTGGGTTTGGTGGTTGCTTAGATACCATGTGAATGGTGGTTTGATCAATGTAGATTCACTTCCAGCAAAAATATGTTTTCATGTAGATATTTTACTATATAATAATAATAATAACT